AGAGGCCTTGCCCTCCAAGAAGTGGCCACTCGGCCGGGCGCGGTGGCTCAAGCCTGTAATCCCAGCACTTTGGGAGGCCGAGATGGGCGGATCACGAGGTCAAGAGATCGAGACCATCCTGGCTAACACGGTGAAACCCCGTCTCTATTAAAAAAAAATACAAAAAACTAGCCGGGCGAGGTGGCGGGCACCTGTAGTCCCAGCTACTCGGGAGGCTGAGGCAGGAGAATGGCGTAAACCCGGGAGGCGGAGCTTGCAGTGAGCTGAGATCCGGCCACTGCACTCCAGCCTGGGCGACAGAGCGAGACTCCGTCTCAAAAAAAATAAAAATTAAAAAAAAAAAAAAATAAGTGGCCACTCGACCTGCAAGAGGCCAATACTAAGCAGGTAAACAAATAAGAGGGTGTTCCGGCATGAGAAGCTAATGCAGAAGACAAACAGCCAAGGACTGTGCTTGAGAAGAACAATGGGAGCTGCCCGGGCACCTCCCAGTGTACAGGGCCCCTCCACGCAGGCTCATTGCTCTCTCCCAGGCTCCCCGAGCTACGAAGCCCACACTTGATCCTCAGGCAAAGGATGAATCCTACGTAAGTCTCAGGAGCTACAAAAGCTCGAGTACAGCAGTGACAAGACAGGAACACGAGAAAGTTACAGGGATCGTTTCCTGCGATGATGGTTGTCAGCGCCGAGTTCCCTCGGCCACAGCTAACTCCTGCCCCTGCTCTCCTGGGGGGCTTCGGGGCTTGTGCCACCGTCCACCTTCCTGCAACTGGCCACTCCCTCGAACCCTTCGACAGGCACTAGGTGTCTTTTTTGTCACCTGTGAGCATCTTCCCCAAGCATTTTTTACCACGGCTGCTCAAAAGAAGCAAAAAATAAAACTAAAAAAATTAAAATGGCGGCCAGGCGCGGTGGCTCCACGCCTATAATCCCAGCACTTTGGGAGGCCGAGGCGGGCGGATCACAAGGTCAGGAGATCGAGACCACAGTGAAACCCCGTCTCTACTAAAAATACAAAAAACTAGCCGGGCGCGGTGGCGGGCGCCTGTAGTCCCAGCTACTCGGGAGGCTGAGGCAGGAGAATGGTGCAAACCCGGGAGGCAGAGCTTGCAGTGAGCTGAGATCCGGCCACCGCACTCCAGCCTGGGCGACAGAGCCAGACTCCGTCTCAAAAAATAAAAAATAAAAATGGCTGTGTCTGATTTCCTCTGCTCTTCCTATAGAAACACTGCTAATGAAAATACATAAACTGAATAAACACTTGGAGAGGAAACCATCTGCTTCATCCTACTGTCAGTGGGAACAGTGTTTGTTTACTAGCAGGGTCATGAGGAGGGGACACAGAAAACCTTCCCAGGAACCATCAGGGAAATGGTCTGGGCGGGCATAGGGGCACCTTCTTAACCCTTTCAGATGCCCAAGAGTCACTCCGTTTCATAACCTCTGGTTGGAAGAGAAAGTTACATATATCATAAACCACAGGCTGAAGCTTATTTGCATAGTGTTTTCCACACAAAGATGATAAAACACCATGCAATTTACTATACATACTGCCCTTGAACTTTCCACTCCGCAGAGGAAATACCTAAAAAGACCATCCAAGTTCAACCGCAAAGGTGCTTGTGGAACCAGCTACGGAACAGAAAAGATCTTGGAGCTAACTGCCAAAGCCTTCCAAAAGGTAGAGCGCTTTAATAATAATTGTTTTTGGGTACAAAGAAGGACGCAGACACCATGGAGAAGATGGTGTGGTTCTTTCTGCCAGGAAGCATTTAGGGGATTTGCATTTTAAACGACTGCTTTACCTGCAAATCCATATTTTAAAACAAAATTAATAAGCAAAGGCCCAGGAAATTCAACCCCCAGGGAAAGACACCAGTCATCCCCAAAGGAAACTGCAGGGACTTCTGGCCCGGCGCCCGGCTCAGCTGTGTGGTGAATGCAACTGGGCCATGAGAAGTCCTTCACTTGGGGCACTCCATCAAAGGATGTTTCCAGGGTCAGACACTTGGCCTTGAATTCCCAGCAAAAAGTTCCACAGCAAGGTTTTAAAGCAAGACCAGGGGGCTGAGTCTCTCACAATCCTGTAGTCACCTTCCTCCCAATCCCTGATGACTGAGCCAGCACAGCCGATGCCTTCCAGATGCCGCTGGCCTGGCTGTGGCTGCTCTTAAAGAGCACGAGGTAGTGACTCAGAATCAGCTCCACCACCAACAATGCTGATATATGACTTTCTACAGCCAGTTAAGGAATATATCTATTGCCCAGAGGCTAAGAGAAACATTCTGACCAAACTAGAAAAATTAAAATATGGCCGGGCATGATGGCTCACGCCTGTAATCCCAGCACTTTGGGAGGCTGAGGTGGGCAGATCACAAGGTCAGGAGATCGAGAGCATCCTAGCCAACATGGTGAAACCCCGTCTCTACTAAAAATACAAAAATTGGCTGGGTGTGGTGGCACACATCTGTAATCCCAGTTACTTGGGAGGCTGAGGCAGGAGAATCACTTAAACCCGGGAAGAGGAGATTGCAGTGAGCCGAGATCGCACCACTGCACTTCAGCCTGGAGACAGAGCAAGACGCCGTCTCAAAAAAAAAAAAAGAAAAAGAAAAATATGAATGGAGGAGACATGTGAAAACAAACAATGGCATTAATTCTACTTGTAAAATAAACTCACTCTAACAGTGAGTAAACATTTAATTAGCACCTACTATACAGCAGGTGCCATGCTAGATGCTGGGGATATAGACAGAACAGGCAGGCAGTTGGAAGTACACGTCATACTACTAATCCTGTGTTTAGTTAAGCTCTTACTACATGTCAAGAATTGTTCCAAACACTTTGTCACCTCTTTTTTTATTCTCATATAGTATAGAGTTTATTATTAGCCTCATTTTATCAATACTGACAGGTTAAATAACTTGTTCACGCTGCACAACTATCAGAAGGAGACGCCGGTATTTGAACTCAGGCTCCTTCATGCATCCGATAGGTGTATGAGTAAAGAGGTCTGCAGGAAGAAAGAAAAAGCCCTGTCCACTGCCTGAGAGAGTAGGCATTCAGGTAAAACTGATAGGGCTTAGAAGAATGCATAGGAGTTTATCAGAAACCTTATGAGAAAGGTTCCTTCCAGACAAAGGGCTTATAAATGCAAAGCATAAGCCATCGGAAATTATGAAGAAAAATAATTTTAAAAGATAAAAACACACTTTTATTACTACTTCTTGGGCAGGGAGTTCCTAGATAGGTGCTAAATAGTAGCTAGGAATGGGGTCTTGACTTACTTTGGTTTCAAGAAGAACTGAAGGTGAGTGCAGCCCAACGATCCCTGGAGTGAGTGCACACAAGAGTGGCATGTGCCAGTTCCACAGTCCAACCCACTCAGCAGAACATCGTGTAATAGAATGTGCTGATAGAAACCTGGGCTCAGAAGTCCTTCACAGTACTGAATAGGAAGCACTGAAACCAAACACCTCACTGAACCAGCCTGACAACACACACAAAAAAGCGGGTGAGGTGGCACACATATGGAACACATGTGCCAGGAGGCCCAATTCTAACCGGACGGCAGGGGCTCTCCTCAACAGAGTCTATGATTTTAGGAGATTAACAATAGCTTTGTTCACCAAAATACAAAGCTGTCCCAAGTCCTTGAAAGATACAAATTCCACAAGAAAATCAGAAAACACAAAGGTGGTTTGCAGTGTGCAATAAATTGGTGGTTTTAAGCATAGCTATTCTGAGTTTATCTTTTCCTGAGATGTTTAATGTTAGTTCATATGCTCTGAGCGATGTTCTTTGAAATAAATATAATTTGCTGACTCATATCCCATAAATGATTCAATGATGGGTTACCAACGTTAATGCCGGCTATTAAATTCCAGCCCCTCTAGCCAACAGGACTGACACACAGATCGTCTCCACGTTAAAAACAGGTGTGCTCCCAGAGTTCTTGATAAGTTGGCTGCTTGGAATTCAAGAGTTATTTTCCTCCCCCACAAACAATATTAGACGTGGTATTTGATACTCAAGACAGAAAACCCAAAATACTAGATCTGAGGCGTGCTTAGAGTTCTCTGGACTGAGCCCATGAGAGGGAGTGGGCCGGCCGCTTAGCCAGCCAGACACTCCCACTTCCTCTCCTGCGGGGAGTAAGATGTGCGGCAGCTGCACGAAGCAGGCGGCAGCAGGAGCGATCTGAGGAGGAGGCTGGGAGCGGCGAGGCTGGGAGAGGCGAGGCTGGGAGAGGCGAGGCTGGGAGAGGCCAGGCAGGAGCTCAGAGAAGAACAGAAGTGAGTAGTGCCAGGGCTCCAGCGGCTCCAGCTGCTGAGGCGCCCAGGCTGCAGGCTCCTCCTGTGACCGCTCTGGGCCCCAGGCTACTCTGTCCAGGGCCCTGGAGTGGCAGGGCCTCCCCATCTCTAGGGCTGCCATATGGTAGGCTCAGAAAGAGGCTTTTCGATACTCCCACACCCACCCTGTGGGGTGGCATCCACAGGCTCTCCTGATTCCCTCACATGAAAACACACGTGGCTCTTTAATGATGTTCTCGGGATTGTTCTTGCCAGTGACTAGAGTTCAACAGCCCCCCGGCCACAAACACACACGCACAAGCACCAATGTGACAGAGGAACTGCCTATGACCAGTAAATTAAACTGGGATCCAGCCACAAGACCACTCTTCCCTCCAGTTACATATATATACATAATGTATACATACGCACTTACATTACATATGTATTCGAATGGAAAGTCACAGTAAAATTCAAGTGCCGAGGCCACTGACATCACTGTATGGGTGGTTCATGCATAACTCAGACACTGGAGAGCTCGAAACCAGAATGGGTCAGCGGGGCCATGAGGGGATGGCGAGGGAGGTGCTGAACACGCAAGCCCTCCAGCCGCCTCGTGTCACTGGCCATGGGAATGAGCCGAACCTCCCCACACCAAAGGCTGCCCCCCACCACATTCCTGGGTTCACAGATAAGCCCCCAACTTACTGGAACTTCAAATGCCTCCTGGGTGTCATCCAGCATCTGGATTTTGATGGACACGAGTTTTCCTGAAGGCGTTGGGGGCGGCTTCTGTCCACGTTCCAAGGTACTGATCCCCGAATTTTCCGGGGCCCCCAGTCGTGATCCTGGGGTTGGCCTCTGCTCTATTTCTCCCATGATGAAAGTGGCTTAGAGAATATCTGCAGGAAGCAGTGAGAAAGAAAAACACATCAGAACAGGAGACTCACTGATACCACCCAAGCTGTGTGCCACCTTCTCCCCTTTGTCACGGGAATTTCCCTGAACCCACCCAGGTGGGCAGGGGGCTCCATCCCCTGCACAGGAATCCCATACGGGGAGGCGTCGGTTCACTCACAAAGTCACCTTTAAGCACTCAAGGTATGCAAATACTTTTTGCATACTTTATTCTTTGGAATAATTTTGCATATTGTTGCATATTTTATTCCTTTCTTGTTTTACAGTCTGTTCTTAATTATTCAGTGTCTACAATGAGCTAGGCTAAGCACTACTTTTTTACACATCAAAGTCTGGTGGGAAGATGATAAACAGCACCTCAGCCATATCATTAGCATCCATTAATTACCTTTTATGGACACAGTCACAAGCTAAGTACCGTGGGTATTCTAAAGATAAACAGGTAAAACATGCACTGCAGAGCTCGGGCTTATAATCTGGTTGAGGAAATAGACATACACTCACAGACATATACTCACGAAGACAGAGGCAACAGAAAGTAGGGTCATTTTTCTTGGTTTCTAGTGTCTATTTCTATTAAAATAACCACCTAATAATTCCTTTCTTTCCAGCCACCCACCCCACCAACTATTCCCCCTTTCCCAAGAAGCCATTCTACACACTACACTATAGTATCAAACAAAGTTATTTTCCTAAAAACAACCATCTTTCCTCTCCAGATAGTCTACTCTTGCCTAACGACACCCTCAGCTTCTCCCTCCCCTCTCGCTGTCTCTATCTGGCTCCAGGTCTCCACATGCGTGGCTCACTGTGGCTGAGTGCTTTGCCCACTTTCTTCACCTGGAAACTTCTATCATTGCTTTAAAACTCAGTTCAAATGTCACATCCCGGCCAGGCGTGGTGGCTCACACCTATAATCCCAGCACTTTGGGAGGCCAAGGTGGGTGAATCACCTGAGGTCAGGAGTTCGAGACCAGCCTGGCCAACATGGTGAAACCCTGCCTCTACTAAAAATTCAAAAATTAGCCAGGTGCCATGGCGTGTACCTGTAGTCCCGGCTACTCGGGAGGCTAAGGCAGGAGAATCACTTGAACCCAGGAGGTGGAGGTTGCAGTGAGTCGAGATCACACCACTGTACTCCAGCCTGGGTGAGAAGCGTGAAACTTAGTATCAAAAACGAAAACAAATGTCACATCCTGGCATCTGGTGCAGAGTACGTGTGCTGCTATCCCCTCTGTGCTCATTGCTGTCAAAGCCACACCGTGGTGGTTGAGCCCACATGTGTGGAGAATGCATTGTGATGCCCTTAAAAAGCAGGAACCCAATCTCGAATGTCCCTTGCAGCTCAGTGCCTACCTAGGCACAATGCCTCACACAGACTGGAGGTCAATATTGGCTGCTTAACAAGTGGACCACTCGGCCAGTATATTTATATGTGGCTGCATATTTAGTGTCAGAAGGACACAAGGGAATGAGATTTCCATGTGAGATGAAGTGGTTGAAAGAGAGGGAAGGCTTCCATCATGGAGAAGGTGAGAATTGAACTCAAGTTGGTCTCAAACATTGGATAATACTTGGAAAGAGATAGGAGACAGACAAGGAAAAGGCACTCCTGGGAAGTAGAATGGCATCCACAGAGTTACAGGACAGAAACATGATGGCACAGAGGAAAAAGAGTGAGAATCAGAGCCAGAGAGTTCAAGATGTATTTTAGAAATGATTTGAAGTCAGGCTCTAGAGCAGCGGTCCCCAACCTTTGTGGCACCAGGGACTTGTTCTGTGGAAGATGGCTTTTCCACAGATAAAGGGGAGGCAATGGTTGCGGGATGAAACGGTTCCACCTCAGATCATCAGGCATTAGATTCTCATAAGGAGCACACAACCTAGATCCCTCATATGCGCAGTTCCCAACAGGGTCCATGCTCCTATGAGAATCTAATGCTGCAGCTGATCTGACAGGGGGTGGAGCTCAGGCGGTGATGCTCGCCTGTTGCTCACCTCCTGCTGTGCAGCCCAGTTCCTGACAGGCCACAGACCACTGCTCCACCGCCCAGGGTCTGGGGACCCCCCTCCTTTAGAGGACTCCAAATGCCCAGCTGAAAAATACGGTCTTTACCCTGTAGGCAGCAGGAGTCACTGAGGGAAGACTAACAACACAACAACAACAACAATTTCAGAAAAATGAACCTGACGACGGTACTATATATAACTAAAGAAAGAGGGCTGGGAGGGCAGGGGCTGGGGCATCCAGTCACAAAGCAACTGTCACAGTTCATGCTTGAAATGCCAATGTGGACAGCAGCAATGGAAATCAAAAGGTGATGCTATAAAATCTATTTTTGTGGAAAAACTAACCCAATGTTACAAATGGTTAGCTACTGAGAGGAGGAGGTAAAAGTCTAACACCGGGCCGGGCATAGTGGCACAAGCCTGTAATCCCAGCACTTTGGGAGACTGAGGCGGGCGGATCACGAGGACAAGAGATCGAGACCATCCTGGCGAACACAGTGAAACCCCAGCTCTACTAAAAATACAAAAATTAGCCAGGCGTGGTGGCAGGCGCCCGTAGTCCCAGCTACTCGGGAGGCTGAGGCAGGAGAATGGCGTGAACCCGGGAGGCGGAGCTTGTAGTGAGCCGACATCGCGCCACTGCACTCCAGCCTGGGCGACAGAGCGAGACTCCGTCTCAAAAAAAAGAAAAAGAAAAAGAAAAAAAAGGTCCAACACTGATGAGAAAGTTTGAAATCAGGGCAGAAGGGAGGAAGTAGGAGGGGGAGGGGGAGGTGTGAGTGTGCTTTGGAACGTTCCCTAGGGCTATAAAAGGACATCCTGTGGGCTTTCCTGTCTGGAAGCTGGAGCTGGGTCTGGGCTATGGGTTCAGGGTGAAAGCCGTGAGAATCAAGGGAAGGGGTTAAATGTGTAACCAAAAAAGCAAAATGAACCACCAGGCCCAATGGTGAGGGTCATGGAGAAAGAGGAGATGGGAAAAAGAGACCCCCAGGGGGCAGTTCTGGACAAAAGGGCACAGAAGGGGCACCAGAGAGCTAACTGGGGTGCGAGGAATAGAACTGTGGGCTGCGTCTCACTCACATTGGAGAAAAAGTCACCCTTTCTTTCTTTCTGGCCACCCACCCCTCCAACTATTCCCCCTTTCCCAAGAAGCCATTCTACCATTCCACACATTGTACTATAGTATCAACAAAGTTTTTCTTTTTTTCTATTAATTTTTTTCTTATCTCATTTTATTATTTATTTTTGCAAAGGAGTCTCACCCTGTTACCCAGGCTGGAGTGCAATGGCGCGATCTCAGCTCACTGCAACCTCTGCCTCCCAGGTTCAAGCGATTCTCCTGCCTCAGCCTCCCCAGTAGCTGGGATTACAGATGCCCACCACCATGCCTGGCTAATTTTTTTTTTTTTTTTTTTTTAAAGTAGAGATGGGGTTTCACCATGTTAGCTAGGCTGGTCTCAAACTCCTGACTTCAAATGACCCAAGTGCTGGGATTACAGGTGTGAGCCACCACGCTGGCCCCTTCTCTTTTGAATGCCTGATTCCACAGGTCTGTTATGTAAGTGCCTTTCTCACTTCTGCCTCAAATAAGCTTTTTCTAAGCATCTGTTTCTAATCTGTTTGGTTGTGTGATCTCTGCTTTGGTTCATTCACTCATTAGCCTCGAGGGATGAGACCAGCCTGGTTAATCTAGAATCCCAGCCTAGTGCCCTTCACCGAAGTGGAAAAGATACCCTCAATATTGGGTCAATTAACCAAAGTGTGTGTGTGTGGAGGTGGTGGTGGGGGAGCAGTATATTCATTATGAAGTCAGTCGTATCCAAAATAATCTTCACAAGCCAGGCAAAATTACTTCTATTCCATATATGTTTTCTGTTCACTGTCTCATGGTTAAAAATAAATGCAATCTCCAGAGAAAGCTCTACCATCAGTCAAGTTGGCCTTCCCCCTTCCCAGTCCCTCAGTGCACTTTTCCTACTTTGGTGTGGCCCCTCCCCACCCACCCTCCTTCCCTGTACTTGCTCAGCAGGGACAGGCCCTGTGCACGGTCATTTACACTGGGCTTTAGCTGGGCTTGTCAAGCAGGCATGGACCTGGCTACGGTGTTGATGCCCATCCAGGGAGCCAGTGACGGCAGGAAGGAAGGGCTCTACTCTCCCACCTCACCCCAGCCTAAATGTGCTCAGACCCTCCCTGCAAATATTTTCTCCTTGTCCTACCTAAGCAAAAAGCAAGACTCCTCATTCTCTGAACTGAACTCCTCTCTGTCTCTCTTGCCCAAGATCCCCAGATAAATATATATATTCTGATTTTTAGCACCTTGGCATTTAAAAATTTAATTGAGTTAGTCATTAACAGATACTTGGTAGCTTAACTTCCTTTCTCTTTAGTTCTCAAATGATCTCATGTCTAGGTTATTTCTACTTCTGGATAATGATGCTTGAACAAAGTATGTCATACTTTCTTTTTGTTATCATACTTGCGTGCAGACTGTTGCTGTACATGGAAAGGTCTGTTTAATTCAACCATAAATCCAGCCAAGAGTTTTGAGTTGAGCATCCTAAGAACGCTAAGGGAACATCTCAGGAACGCTGGCAAGTCATAAATGGGTAACCACAATTGATGCTTGATAGCAAAACTGGTAAGCCCAGTAATGCAACGCCGTCTTCCAGATAAACAAATCCAACAAACCTAAAGGCCTCTAGTGTATAAATACTAACCTCTGCTCTATTCTGAATTTCTCTCCATTAACTTCCTCTGACTTCTCAATTTCTTGAGGAATAGTCAAAATAAAAACTACTATTTCTTTCCTTGTGATACCTTATTACTAAAATGATGATTCTAGACCTTAAAGTTAAAAGCTGCTGCAAAACTACTTTATTAGTTAGCTCTATTTGAAAAGTTACTTTTAAAAAGTAACAACAACAACAAAAAACCAAGATTTTTAACTGCCAGAGAAAAGGTAAAAAAACTA